TATGTTTTGTTACACAACACAACCTGATTGATAGCACTCAATCACTGAATCAATCACAAGAAGTGCAACGCTAATGCTAAATCACCACCACTGAGCTTCTATGTGCACCACAGTTATCCTGAATGTTAATTTTGCTTGTTTAGCCGTTTATCTTCTGAAGTAAAAGCTTCACAATTACTGAGTCAGGTATTTACTACGTCATGTTTGCAATAGAACAAAAAAATGTTCAGAGCTACAAAAACTACTACAGAATGTATTAAAGCATTAAAAAAAATGAACATTTTTAGAACTCACTGCCTGCGAGTTCAGGGAACTAGAAGTGCAAAATGCTAACTCATTTCCAAGTTTTAGGACTCATTCACTCTACTGAGGTCTAAATAGAGGTACTTCATGATATCTGCTGAGTTGCAGGATTTGCTCCCAGAAGAACTGCTTGAAGTCCTTTAAGCTGGTGATGCTCTTTAGCAACATTTCCAAATTCCACCTTTATACTGGCCTCATACTGGCCAAGGGTTGGAGAGCAGCCATGATGGCTCTTTTAACATCTGCTTATATATAATGTATGACGAAGCCGGTTAAATCCATAAAGATTTTATGCCTCTTTAAGTCTCCTGCTGCCCTGTTACAGCAGATCTTAGGACTCCTCCATCTGCCAAATCCCACTTTAACCCCTACTGATGTTTGATGACTTGTCGGGATCTTTTGGGAAAACTGTTACAAAAATCTCAAAATAACATCTGTATTTCGTGTAAACCGATAAGAAAGACTGATGCTGCATTAGGGTCTCTGTAACCTATAGCAAATCGTTGCTATGGGTTACAAAACCATCTTTGTTAAGGTTTTCTCTGCCACCCTTATATTTAATGTTGGTAATATAAATCTTGTTCACTTCTTGATTTTGATGAGAGAATTGACATTGAAAGACTTGCCAAAGGTCTGACTGATGGCTGGATTTCTATAGAAAACAGATGTTGAGAGTTCAGAAATGCTGCCTGTTGAAACACGTCCTTTATCGTGAACTACACTAAATCACTGCTGGTTGTGACTGGGAGTGAAAGTCTGTGCAAAACTCACTGAAAGATCCTTCATAAAACCTGTTTCTTCCCAGGCTGTGTGTACACGCTTGGTAATATCAGTAGAAATGCTTGTTATTGCTCAATCAGAGACCAACAAAAAGGAATGTCAAGACAAAGTGCCAGTCATTTTTACTTTGTGTTTCTACCACTGCAGAGAAACCACACTTACTAAAGACTTGCTGCAGCTGCAAGAAACTTCTCGCATGTTTTGGGGGATTTTACTGTATCCAGCAGGGAAACATTGACCTGATTAAAGCTAAATTCCTCCTTAGTGTTCAACATGGTTAAAGCCTCAATATTTCACTGTTCTCCTCTCTTAAAGCGTTATCCTGTTTCACTTCTTTGATAACAATGCTATTAACGAGTCCAAGCGGACGAGTCTTTCGTGGTCTTTGCTCGTGTCCTCACTGTGCTTGTCTCTGTTTTAACACTGCAGCATTAGGAAGATACAAAGGTACGGTATAGCTCCTTTTCCTCCACTCATCCTCTTGTCACTCTGTTCATCATCTGTTCGTCTCAGCTGCACGTCGAAAGGAGCTGTCTCTCATTTGTCATGTGTCTGAGTGTGTATTGCTTCATAGGGGTGTGTGTGAAATGATATATTTGGACTCCTGTAGTTCAGTGTCTCAGCAGAGTGAATAAACAGGCCTGTTTCTCTTTGTTTACATAAGTAAGAGCCATCTTTGCAGTTTCTGATACTGAACGGACTCGTTCAGCCTGTGGATACAATAGCCTCTTGTTGCTTATCTCACCTGACTGCATAGTTACAGTTACTGTTTTTGTCTTATCGTACTAATTGAGGGGTTTTTGTGTTAATCTGTTTGAAATGGAAGCCAGTTAGTTTAGCTGGGGTAAAACACTATACTTTTTACTGACCTCGCATTATCTGTGTTATTGTCTAAGTGCAGATTGGGTAGGGGGACGTCTGCTGCTTGTGGTCAACCATCTATACAGTGTGCAGCCTATCAGTAATTAAATAAAAAGCTTTTCAAATTAGATCAGCCCTCCAGCACAGCTCTGCTCCATCAGCCGGAGTCAGCTGTCTACATGTGATGGAATTTTTCTTTCTAATATTCATTTGTCCAAAACGCATTTTAGACTCATTAGAGGATACTTCTTTTAAACAAAGGAAAACTCAGGAGGTTTAGTGATTTATGACCTGCAGCATCGCCCTGAAAAGTTTACTTTTGTGTTTGATTTAAGACAACACTACTACTACACTAGTAGTAGTATACTCGTGTATTTATGGTAAGTGTATAGACAAAGTATCCAACTTGAGACAGTTATTGACTTTAAAGTAGCCACCTTGACATCACACGTAGTTTTGAAGTACAGTAGGTAATGTGTCAAGGTTTTCCTCTAGTTTACTTTAAATAGGGCCAACATTTACAACATAATGCTGTATTTGCTAAGAAACAAAGTGATTCAAAGCATAAACTTGCGAGGAAAGATTTTACTTTTATAGAATCTGACTTCTGTTTGGATCCAGAAGAGTCGCCACCTGCTGGCCATTTGAAAGAATGCAGGTCTGATGCATTGGCTTCACTTTCATATCTTTTCATATCCATCTTTTTATTTTTATTTATTTATTTTGTTTGTTTGTATTGGCTTGTGTAGATTTCTTTCATTTTTTGAATTTGTTACCAGGCAAGGATCACCTTTGATATAAAATACATAAAACCACATTTGGTTTTATACAGAAGAAGAGCAGCTAAGAAGGGAGTGGTGGGTGGATTTAGTTACCTTGGGCCTGCTGTGCCATATTAAGTTAAACTACCTCAAACCCTAAGAAGATTTGACAAACCTTAAGTGTGGCATCGATCTTCCTCAAACTCTAGACAGCCAAGAGACCTATATGAGATCGATCAATTCTGTCTTAATGACACAGGGAAGTACATGTGTAATTAATTAGTTTGACAATGACTATTTTCCTCAGTTAGCAGAATCAAGCCCTCAGTGGGATAAATGCATTAAAAACCCTGCAGAATTCACTGGATTAGCACCAGCCGTCTGAATTATATATAAGTTGAAGCCCTGAAACAACATACCGTTCTCATCAGGAGACAGTACAAAAGATGGATGTAGCAACTGTGATGTCACGCACTGCTTTGCGAAGTCCTGCTCTGGCCTCATGTCCTTAGTCCTGGATGTTTCCACTTGCATGCAGCCATCAATTAATTCTGCTGATTTGCACTTAAAATGAAAAGGACGGAAACGCACATCCTGTTTCATCCAAACTACTTTTATGTTTGTTGAGTTATTTAAAATATATATTAGTTATTTTCCATCATGTTGCAGGAGAATGTGTGTTGTTGCATGCTGGGAATCGTGTGAGTGAAGCCGAGCGACCCCACCTGCTCGTCTGGGGGTCGGCCTTTTTTAAATGCACTGATATAAATGAGAGACGGGAAAGCCGATCCCTTTTACCCCCCGGATGATGTGTTTTGGGTGTGGAAACCTGACCCCTGAACTACACACAGACAAACACGCCCTTTGACTTGATTGGCTGTGCATCTCTGTCCCACTGCAGCATGGGTGTCAGGGTGATGGACACTTCTTGGGTGTCGCGCAGGGGATCGTCGTCTACGCGTAAATCCTTGTCCACGCCACCGAGTGTGCACCCCCCCACCCCACCCATTGACGCGCTCATCCCCGAGCAGCCTGGGGAATTCTCAGCCTCCCCCTCCCCCACCCCTCCTCCCACTAGCAGCGACCGAGCCAGGTAAGGCAGTTGTGGCCCCACCCGTCCTCCTGTTTCACCTCCCCACCCCTCCTTTACTCCTGCTCCACGCCCGCGCACACACCTGCTGCCGCTGCTCGCTCGTCACCGCGTCTGCTACCGCGCCCTGCAAATGACACCCGAACTGCGCTGTCTGCCCCTTCAAACCCCCACCCACCCCACCTCCACCCCTTGTTTTCTTGTCTGTCGTTCATCCTCACCTCTGTGTGAACCCACCCTGATGAGGCATGTCATTTAGAACTTCTTTTCATTTCAACATCTCCTCACCCCCTGAATTTCCCGAGTCACGCGTGGAGTTAATTTTCTGCCTGAGTGGTGATACTGCATATCATGTGAAGATTTCACTTCTACTTAGGGCTGGGTTTAACCAAAATGTGTTGAAAGGTTCATCCACAGTTCAGTAGAAAACTATTGCTGCATGTGCATGGATCACATCTCTATTTTTCTTTTGCCATCAGTCCGAGCATCGTTAGCAGCATAACGGTCCATTGTCGCAGGAGCCTGCAATGGATGAGGTGGCTGATTTTCTGTTTTATTATTTTGTTTTCTTTGTGCTCTTCCCCTCCCGGAGCCTTCACTTCACTGTCCCAACAACGATTACTCCTCACCTGATTTTTTTCCCCTGATTTTTCCCTCGTTATGGACCAAACTTAAAGTTTCAAATCCACACATCCCTCGTCCTAGAACTAATGAATTCATCCGCTTGAATCACTGATATTTCTATCATTGCAGTTCAGACGATGCATCCTCCAATTGGTCGGACTCCTGTTACGCCTACCCCTCCCCAGAGGAGGAGAGGCCGCCTCCCCCTTACCCCTCTTCCTCTTCTTCCTCCTCTTCCTCCTCCTCTTGCTCTTCCTACTCGCTCCCTCACCACCATTTCCGCACCCGAACACCTCCGGGTATGCGTCCCGTTGCCCCCAGCCCCGAATCCGTGCCCCCTGGCCCGTCCCCTCCACCCCGCCGCACTGGGTACAGCCCGCCCCCGCTCCCTCACTCCCTGTGCCCGTCCCCTCAGCAGCTTGACGTCAACTCCAACCCCAAACCTAACTCCCTGCATCTGCCCAAACCGGCCTCCCCGTCTATTGCTCCGCATGGGCCCCCGTCCGAAACGAATGGCTCCTCCCTTTACATCAAACCCCCGCTCGTTCTCACTCGTCACGATCTCTTCCTTGGCTCCCCGAAAACCCCCAGCACCCCTCTCCCTGCTCCACCTCCATGGGCAGCCTGTGCCTGTAGCCGGGAGAGAGGAGCCAAGCTGACGAGGTAAATACAGAGCCCTGCTCAACCCGCTCCCACTAACACAAATCACACACAAATAAGGAGAGGCCCCCGCAGGGACAAGGAAGCACGAGAGAGGGGTGATTTTTTTTTTTTTTTAAAAAAAGAAAAAAGGAAACTCCCTTCAGTGCCACCCTACTCTGTGTCCTATTAACTCGCTTGGTTTGCAGCTGTCACTTATAGAAATCAAAGGATTCCATTATCACATCCATCTTTAATTTTGCTGCCATGTATGCAATCCATAACTTTCCATGTGAGCCGGGTATTCAGGAGCCTGTTGCCAGGCAACAAAGGAAATCCAAAGCTTTCAGTCAATGATTATAAAAGTCGGCGTTAATGAGTCAGTGAGATTTTGAATGCGAAGGCAATGATGTATGCAGGAGCAAAACAGCACTGTTTGATATTTAAGGAAACCCCAAAAAACATCTGCTTTGGTTTACAGCAACATGTTAATATGAGTTTAAAGGGGACCTATTTTGCTTTTTTTATACATATTTGCACTGATAGAGAATAAATAGTTTCCCCTTATATCAGGTTGCATTACCCATCTACAAGCTGATTACCAGCAACCATTAAAAGAGGGAGGAAGTACACAAATGGTAAATGGCCTGCATTTGTATAGCGCTTTACTCAGTCCCTAAGGACCCCAAAGCGCTTTACAGTCATTCACACACTGGTGATGGCAAGCTACATTGTAGCCACAGCTGCCCTGGGGGCGGACACTGGCGCCACCGGGCCCTCTGATCACCACCAGTAGGCAAACACGGGGTTAGTATCTTGCCCAAGGATATTTGGCATGCATCCAGGAGCACCCAGGAGGCAGCCTGGGATCGAACCACCGATCTCCTGATTAGTGGCTGACCTGCTCTGCCACCTGAGCTACAGCCACACTGCTAACTACCACATGTCAGACAAAACCAAAGACAACCACAGTCTCATAAAGCGTCCTTTAAAAAAAGATGAGGTCACAGTCCTGTAAGAGATGTTTGGAGGTGTTGAATAGTCAAATACATCTTAGTAAATATCAGAAAACATTGCTATCTTCTGCCGCTTATAAACAGATTTGAACAGCAGGTGGTCTGTCCACTCTCTCTGACATCATTCAGAGCTAAGAGCAGGAAAAACTGGCTGAAACAGGGCAGAAAGTAAGTAGCAGTAGTATCACAGATATTACTTTTACATATGCTGACCTCATTAATTTGAAACTTTAGCCATGTTTAATATAAAATCCAGATATCGTATCAGCATAATAGGTTCTCTTTGAATGCCGGATGCTTCCATGCCTCGTTTGCTGAAGAGTGAAAGTGTGTTGAGGCGTAGCTGAGGAGAGTCAGTCGATCAGAGAGTAAACTGGTTATGTTTTGACCTTAAGACCTTCTTCCCATTGGCATTCTGGCTGCACTGTGCTGTAGGAGTAAGGAAAAATTATTAAGCTGTCAGGATATGTTTGAATTTTCTTTCCTTCTTTTTTTGCTCAACTGTATAAGTTACATGTCCATCTGCAACAGTGGTCACCCGGACAGTTTGAATTATGGCTGCTCTCATATATTTTCCTCTTTTGTTTTTAGAAAACAAAGAGATTTATGGAGGCAGGGTTAGTAAATCACAGAAGAAAGCATATCGTAATGTGTGTGTTTGTGTGTTTTGTCCTTCACTCTCTCCTCAGTACTCTGAAGAACAAGGAGCTGTCTCCAGTGATTGGACAGAAGGGGCTCCAGGGAGCAGTGACCTCTAGTGGACAGTCGCAGCTCTCTGACCACAGTCCGCACACCTTGAGGAGAGGTAATACAACTAACTGGGCATGTATGACAGGGATCTCAGCTTGTCTCAAAAACACGGTAAAAATAGTAAAAGTAATGTCTTTTGGGGATTTAAAAACTCTGCACCTTGCCCAGTACTGTGACAGCAAAAAAGATGCAGCACACTGTGTTCATTTAGCTGTTTCTCAGGCTCTAATAGAATCTGTCTAATCTATTAGTCAGTGCTGTGAATGAGGTCATTTTAAGTAACAGTGGAACCGCTCGTGTGGAGAGGATGTAAATCTGCAAAAGTGTGTTTTCATTCATTGTTTCCACTCTGGTTGCTGCACAAAAGAGGGGAAAAGGTCCTTGGAAAAACACATAATAACTGACTGACGGCTGCAGTAGAGTTTTATCTGCTAAAATATCCTCAGACTCTAAGGATAAGAGGGCGATGTTTAGTTTGAAGAAATAAACTTGACTTGATGCTGTGTGATTGAAGGGTTTAATTAAGGCAGGCATTATAATTAATGAGCAATTTGATGGGTAAATTTGTCTGGGGAACTTCAGAGTTTATTAGACTGAAGACGAGGCGAGCATCTCTTTTACACTTAAACTTTGATTTCACACATCACTTGTCAGAGTTGGCCTGTAAAAGAAATTGTGTTTTATATGATTTGATATGTGGGAAATTTGACCAAAAAACAGCTTCATACAGAAGAAAAGGATGACAAGAGGTCGCGCTCTGATGAAGGTCACGATGCAGAAACATTAGTGCATTTGTTAATATGGCCAGAACATATTAAACAAACATTTGAATTACATTGACTTTGGTTTAGCATCACACACTATAACACACCAGGACATGCATCCTTCTGCAGTTATAAAAGCTAACTAGGGGGTTTTACTTTGAAAATCTGACATTTCTGGGAATCCTGATAACTGCATTTATTTTGTAAAACTGATACAAATGTGATAATCCTGTTAAACGTTTTATTTAGGCATCTTTTTCGTAGCTTCCCACACTCTTTTAAATTACTTTAACTGAAAAACAAAGATGTCAGATTATGCTGGTAAATTCCTAAAACTCTTTTATTTTGGAAATATGACTTTGGTACATCCTGATAACTTTTTCGCCGCTAACAAGGAGCTTTTATGTTGGAAATCTGGTACTCTGAAGCATCCGGATACATTTCTCTAACTAAAAAGTGATTTTTATTTTGAAATAGCATGTTAAAACATTTGTTTATTCTTAAAGCACACTGGTTGCTTTTATTTCAGAAATATAGACATTTGTTATCATGGTAACTTTTTTTTTTTATAACTGTCAGCTTTTATATTGAAGATCTGGCAAATTAAAGCAAATTTCTTTTACTTTGGAAAAATGGGCATGTCAAAGAAATTTTTTTTCCTTTTATGTTGAAAATCTGGTACGTTAAAGCATCACCGCAGATTACTATAAAAACTGAACACTTTTAATTTGACAAACAGACATGCTAGCAGATTGCTAAATGCCTTCGGGGGCTTTTATTTTGGAAATATTGCAGACCCTGATCATCTTATGTTCTTTCTTGGTGGTCTCTCCACAGCAAAGAAGCTGGCTCCGATCCCGCCTAAAGGCCCTTACTGCCCAACGGGAGCCATGTCCGACCAGTCCACAGGTCAACCGTCTCCAGTCAGCCTGTCTCCCACTCCTCCCAGCACCCCCTCCCCATATGGCTTCAGCTACCCGCAGGGATATGCCACCATCAGCTCCCCGGGTCAGTTGCAGATGGTCACCACCCCGTCTCTGTCCTCTCCGCCCTCGTTGGCTGGGACTCTCACCAAGGCCAGACCGACCCCCAAGCCGCCCCGGCAGAGACCCAACCTGCCTCCTCCTCAGCCTCCATCCACACCTGGCACTAGTCCCCAGCCTCTGGAGCACTCATCTGGGCTCCTGGACGGTCTTTCTCCTGGGGAAAGCATGTCTACTGGTAATGCTAAACTTGACCGTTTTTTTTAAAGCACTTTGTGTTCGTAATTCTTTTTGCTATATGTAGATTTTCTAAATAATATGCCATAGTTTGACAAATATTATGAATTCTTATTATTTAAGTTCATGTACTCGGATGTATATGCACTGTTTTTGGTCTTTTCATGACATTTATTGGCAATAATGATAGATGTAGGATAACAGCTTTGGTGTCCTTCTGCATCAGGAGAGGAGTCGTGTATTATGCATTTGTTTGCCTCTCCATCACCTGCAGGTTCTAATCATGATTTTCATGTAATTTCTTCCCCTCTTATCGTCTCACCTGCAGCGGTATGAGGCGAGAGGTTCAGTGTGATTCTGTGTGTGAGAGGGACTTTTAGGGTAAGCAGGAGTTTCTGTGCTAAAGCCTCCCTTCCCCTCCTCTTCGGTACCCTCAAACCCCAAACATGGAGCCGCCCGCTGACATGCTCACAACACAGTGAAGCTGCCAGTAGATGCGGATTTAAGATTATCCGCTGCTCTACGGCAGCCTCACTCATATGACCATACAGGCGCTGTGTTCAGTCCACCTTTTACTCATTTTGTTGGCCTTTGCATGGTGGCTGAGACTGATGCATGGCTTACATGGGCGTGCATACCGGACTGTCCACCGATCCCAACCTCTCCCGCGCTTAGGATTCCCACCCATAATGCCCTGCTCCAGCTGCCCCTCCTCTCCCTGGCTTCATCAGTCACCCCACCCACACACCCCTCACGCTTCCCACCGACTCCACCTCTGTCCCTCAGTCAGCGCACTTCCTGTCTGCACCAGTTTTCCATCACATGTTGTACACTAGATGTCTTCACTGTCAATATTATAGTAATATATTATATTAAGTACACATGTACTGCATGGCATACTAGCCAAATTTCTACCTACCTATATACTATTATATAGGTAGGTAAGCACAAGCACCAAAGGTCTGTAATATATGAAGGGAGAGCTCAGCTTATCCAGTTTTTCAGTATTATGTAGGTTGTTTGCCTTTACTAGGTATATTACCATGGTAACACGGCGTAGACCTAACCTGGATCGAAGCAGAAAATGTTTAAAATTAGACATTAACAGTTATGAAGTCACCACCTACTGACCAATCAGTTCTCTGTAAAATAGCATCATGTTTCCTTGAGCCTCTTGATTGTAAACCATCAAAGTTTTACTGTCAGCCTTACAGTCTGAGTTTTTAGTTTTCTTTTGTGGGTTAATATAGGCTAAACCTTGTTTTTTTAGCAATTGTTTTCCAGTCTTACTGATAAAAGTGTCTGGTCGGATTCTCATAGTTAGACTGATGCACGCCGGGGTTTAGCCTGATTGTTGACGTTAGGGTGAATCCAGATAACAGAAAGAGATCCTGGGTACGCTGAACTTGCCTTGCCTCAGAAGCCATGACCCTTTGTTGCCTGCTTGCTTGCAGTGGATAAAAAGAGCTTGTAAACTGCACAGATATTGTTTGGATTTTGTTTTGCCTGCATATATTAAGTCCATGTGGTACATCAGCAGGATTTTGATTTTGACAAATAGCCACAGGGTTCAGTGACAGGAAATCTTAATTGTGTTGCATAAAATGCTAGTTTGGTCAAAATGATCTAACTCTATCGATAGTTAGTGTTTGTTGTGTCATTGTCCCCGCTACACAGAGCTAGCTCCACACAGACACAAGCTCTCACATTTTTCAAAGTCATCCAACGGGCCAGATTGGAGTCTTCTCTGGGCCAATTCTGGCCCCTGGGCCTCATGTTTGACACCCCTGCCCACCATTAGGGAATGATGATGTTCAACAGCCACATACACTTTTTACACTGTGAATCCCTGTCATGCATTTTTAATTTATTTCTTCACGCTTCCAACCTTGGTTTGGACGTCTGCTGTGTGTGACATCATTCAGCGCTGATGAATCACATCTGGAAGGATCTTTTTCTCTGTTTGCACGGTTTTTATCTGTCTGCTTATCCTCTGCTTGTTCTCTCTGCTCTGCCAGATTCCCTCTGCAACTTGGACATCCCCGTCATTAACATGGAACTGGACAGTATTTTTGACTTGACCCACATCTCCCCCTTCAGGAACTCAGTGGCACAGCTGGAGTCGGCCAACAGCAAAGAGGACTCGGAGGAAGAGTCTGAGAGCACAGTGCTATGACGCCACCGAGTTCCCCCACCCTCTCCGTCAAGCTACTGCTGTGCCGTCTCGATCATTCATTGACCTTTCACCTCTCCAGCTGCGTTAGCTTCGGCCTCAGCGGCCACCTCTGGACCTCCTCACCACGCCTCACCTGTGCTCGATCCAGAGGGGCCAGCGCGTACAAAAGAAAAATAGTAAAATAAAAAAATCTGGTGAACACACACACACACGGTTTTGGCGACAGTGTTGTCAGGGGAAGATTTGACATTTTGCATTGGCTGGATGTTTGTTTTTTTTAATTTAACTTAATGTTTTCTTTTTCTTTCTGCCTTATTTGATTCACTTGCAATATTGCCTTTAACCTCACTCACACGAGACTGGAAACAGGCTGCTGGGAAGATGAGTGCTCTTTGCTGCTGCTGCTGCTTTTCATGAATGAATTTCAGAACAAACTAACACAGTGCTGTATATCTGTCCTGTTAACGTCCTTCTCTCACCGTTCATCTCCTCTTGGCTTGAAACGCCTCTGGCCCCGAATTTCAGTCCCACTTGAGCGTTCACTGTGAGTGTGCCAGTGTGTCGTTTTGGAAAGCGCGCGTGTGTGTTTTGCTAGTGTGCGTGACGTGTTAAGTGAAGTGGTAATTGTATTATATGATGTTGCACTGTCGGTGTCGTGGAGCAAAAACAGGAATGAATGTTTTAGATGTTTAGAAGTTAACTAAGCAGGTTGGGAAGCGGTTAAACGCCCAATCACTCCTTTCTCTTTATAACAAGGCATTCAGTCAGGATATCAGTCACTGGATATTTATTGTTTATACTGTACATTTTCAGAGTGTATGATACGATTAACAATCTAACTCAGATCATATTTTGTATCCACGGGAGAGCTATATAGTTGATGCTGTCAGGGAGCTATAAAGTATATGAGATACATGCTGTAGTTTATGAAACGTCCACCAGTATGAAAAATGAAAAACTCAATTGTGTTTACTCAGACATATTTTTTGGCAGGATGCAAAGCCGAATGAGATCTTTCATTTTTCTTTGTCGAGTTAGGCGTCATTTCAGTTTCAAGGATGTACAAGTTTGTAACTGTGAAGCCTGGAGTGCATAACCACATCGTTTATTCTTTAAAAATAAATTAAACTTCATCCACATAGCAGTAGCGGCGGCTCTGAATGGCCAGCTCTGTGGGTGGGGTCCCCTGTGGGGTTTTCTTGTGTGTTTCCTTTGTCATGAGACATTAGACAGAAACCTATTAAATATTAAACATTTTGCATTGTTGGCAGTTTGCTGGCATGTAGTTGTCCTCTCTTTACTTTTGCTGGGCTCATTGCTGTGCTGTTCCCACTAACTGTTGGTCAGCGCATTAGCTCGATAGCGATTCGATGCTTGTCCTCAAACACTATGCTAAATAATTTGGCAAACCTAATTATTTTATATTGTATCACTTTTGGACCTGCTATCCACCCATCCATTATTTTTCTGCTGCCTACCTGGGTTCAGGCCATGGTAGGCAGAGAGGCCCAGATCTCCCAATTTCCAGGTATTCTGGTGGGAAACCGAGGAATTCTGCAGCCAGCCGAGAGCTCAAATCTGAAAAGCGTCTGCTGGCTTTGGGCCAAGGTCAACCCCAGTAAGACATGCCAACAACACTTCACTTAGGAGGCATCATAATCTGAACTCCTCCTAAGTGGTTAACCTCCTCATCCCGACTCTGTAGATTAAGGTCCCAGTCGCACAGGCCTAAAGACCTGTCAGTGATCCCATGGTACCCACCGGTCACTAGGGAAAATTTGTATTCCCCAACTGGTTGCCAAATGGTTGCTAGAAATTGCTGGCAGTCTCTAGGTGAAATTGGTCAGAAAGAGGTATACGGTAATGCACCAAAGACCACCTTGTGATTGCTTTGGTTGCTTGCAGATTGCCACGGTTGCTGAGCAGTAATGAAACTGTGGAAAGTGGGATGCAGAGTGGAAATGGAGATCATTCGCCTTCAAAACAGTTGAAGTAAAAAATTAAAGTTTCATGTTTTGAAAGGTGTTGGATGCAGTTGTAAGGCATGACTTTTACTTTGATGGTGAACAGTCTCAGTTTCCTTTTAACATAGGAAGTAGCATGCACTTCACTGCACTCTGAATCCCAATTGCATGCTTGTGCCATGCAATAATAATTTAGATCAGAGGTTCTTGGTGCAACACCCTCTTTGTGACCAATTTCACCCGGCATCAGTCACTCACCTCCAACGATTTGGCCAATATAACTTTTTCCTTAGCGATCAGTGGTTGCTAGGCAGTCATATTTAGGCATGTGTGATTGCCGTACACCCTTAGTAAGCAATATCATTCAATTTATCTGTTTTTCTTTATACTTTTTCTCTTTTTAGCTCAGTTATTGGTCTCCACCACTTGATGAGAGAGACATATCTGGCTCTTTAGGTGCCAAACACTCCATTAAATGCACCGGCCAGATGCTAACTTTGTGTTTCCTGTTAGCTTAGCAGATGTTGTTTGAAACAACACTGATGAAACCAGTAAGACTGACACAGAACGCAAACAACAGGTGGAAAGATGCTAAAAAACAAAGATTTTAGAGATTATGAACCTGCTCTATCACACTCCAGGATTCATACAGTGCAAACTTGTATTGACATATTGAACCATTCTTGGGAACGAGCAACAACCCTGACACATTTAACATCCTATCATATCGTAGCAAAGCCAGAAAACAGTCTAGAGACACTTTCAGAAAAAAGGTGCTTGGTCTCTTATAAATAAGCACAGTTTTTCTGTCATTTTCAGCCACATTCACATTACAGTTTATAGGAACCCTGCCTGATGATGCTGATATTTTTGGTCTATCTTAGTGAACCAGAGGCAAGTGCAAAGATATGTGTGTATATGTGTTTATTTTGATGAGAGTATTTATACAGATATATTTCTGAATACTTTTTACTAGGTATGAGGAGCTGTGGTCGTTTCCGCTGCACATGAATCTGAGGAATTTTTTTTCAAGTATTCAAACGTGGGACCAGAATTGCTCTGCTGCCGCATCAAAACCTTTTCAGGAATCGCAGGTTCAGTTTAAGAGGAAACTTGAAAATCAGTTAAACTGGAGTAACAAGGTTTGTGTACGACAGCAGTAGTTTGCTATTTGCCTTGCGGTGGGTTTTTGTTGTGACCTATCCAGATTTATACGACTTTCCTTTTGTCCTGAGAACATCCACTACACATGGCCTCAAAGTCACTGTGCTGCTCTACCTGTGTCTTTCTTTAAAGCGCGATATCACTCACAGGACTCTTGTAAATACCGAAGCCTCTATACAGTTTGTTCTGTATATACTGAAGGGAGAAATTCATATATATATATAAATATATAAATATATAGAAATATACAAATACTGTATTGAAAAGGCTAAATGATGATGAACTTCCATACTATATGTATAATATTATAATGTTGCTGGAACTAGCACAAGCCTAACATGGTACAGCAGACTGAAAGGTCAAATCTAGTGCTTGTTTTGCAGTTTCTGACCTCAGAATGAACCTCTTGAACTTTTAGATTTGATTTTAGTCAACAAAAAAACAGCAACACATCACTGCAGCTACGTGAAAATTCAAGACGTCTCGTGCAGCTTTGAGCACATTTCCTGGTATATTTGAGGTTCATGGAAATGTGATTGTGTGTTCTTTAGAAATAAAAATAAGTGTCTGTGGGGTGCTGCAGTTGCAGTGACGCATCGATCACAGTTTGAAAGGTTTAAACAGACAGAAAACTGCTGCATTACTGTCTTTTAGACAGCAGAACCAGACAGCAATGCAACACAGGTTATATGTTTAAGAAAAAACAGACGTTAAACAACAGTTTGCATAGAACAGATTTTTTTACAAGCAGAAAATTTTAAATTGGTACAAAAAAGAAATACTGGAGGTCATCCAAACCATCAAGATGCTTCTTTTATCTGACTAAAGCTTAATTTATAGTGCCGCATTAACCTGTAGAGACCCTGTATCCTCTATGGCATAGCCTGGCATCCACCTTGCTGCTGTGGCAACACAGCCTACAGTGGCAGTAATATGCTCAAAAACTGTATATTGATTATTACAAGGATAACGCCTCTGTGAACCAACGTGTAATAGGCTCTAGTTGCATTTAGTGTGCTCACAGTGCTAATTCATTACCCAGTGTTAATGTAACACTGAAACACAACTCATTTTGACAGTTAATAGAATTGAATATTGGGGAAATGACTCCATTCATGTTTATTTTTTTTATATTACGACTGTAATTCCAACAAGGACATTTTAAACAGTTGGTTTTTACACATCCAGCAGCTGCGGAGCCACATTGCCATTCAGCTGGGCAGGTGTTTCTGGCTCCTTTTTATCCATTTGCTCTCTATTTACCTGTGTTTTTGCTTTCCACCACCTCCTCAGAGGAATGTCTGGCTGTCGAGATGCTAAATGCTCCACTGTGATCTCATAGTGACTGGTCCTGAGATCTAGTCTGAACCAACGCTGATGAGAGCAGTAAGATTAAGCAACGCTGGGTCTGATTTACCACCGTAATCGTGTGGTGTTTTTCTCTCTTTCCCGTTGTTCCGCATTTATCAGCTCCAAGTCCAACACAGCAGAGCACAAGTATAAATGTAAAACCACGCCACTCATTATGGCGTGGGAGTCACTAAAGAACCATGATAGGAAAGAGAAATCACATGAGGGTCCAAAGTTTTAATTAATAATGTATAACTCATATAGCCTCCTCACTTTGTCAACATAAAGCCGTCAACATGTCATGAGACGTAGATTGATCATGATCTTTGATCGTGTTGTTTCGATGTACCATAGCCGAGCCTTTCTGGATGCACATAACAGTGAATGAAGCAGCTCTATTACTACGAGACCGAGCCCTTTCTTGCTTTCCTCGTTGGCTAGCTTGATAGCTTGCAGGTGCTGTGGATGTCTGCCTGTCTATGTCACTTTGATGGGACGCTTGTTGCTGTGCAGACCACAAAGAACACTGGCCAGGCCGAACATTAAGAACCTGTATAAATGTGTGGCCCGGATTTAAAATTTTCAGGGCCTTGATTTTTTTAGCATAGGCTGATTCACCACAGGACTATAAATTAAGCTTCCTCCAAAAACTGTAGAAAAAGAAAACTTTCTATCACTTAGCACCAAGAAAAGTTGTCAATCCTGAGCAGATTTCTCTGTTATGTTTGGAAAATCCACTTAATTACTGATAAAAACAGTTTCAGATTATTTCCTGGTACTCAAATGATCTTTGAATCTACCAACTTCTTATTTTTTTGCAATAAAAGAAATGCTGTTCAAACAGATTTTGAATCAATGCAGCAATGGTTTTACAATTTAAATTTAAATATTTAGAAAAAAGTTTCTTTTTCAAATTTGCTGTTGCAGTTAGGCTGTGCTGAGGTGAATGGTCTGTCCTGTCTTTGTTTCTGTGTTACAATGTGCTGCTCTTCGTTTTTGTACTAAAGGGTCTCAGATCAAAGCCTGTACATACAGAACACGTCAAACACGACTTTATTAACAATAACCCAGTCGAGCAAAGACAGCCGGCAAGAGATTCCAGAGACAGTTTTCAGTATTGCAGCTTTTGCAAGCATGCCCTTTGAGCACTAAACGTCAAAGGCCTTTTTTTACATCGGTGGAATGTACTGATAGACAATGTCCACCACATAGGTTGTGATAAAGGCGGATTGTGTGTGTTGTGACATAGTTTCAAGAGTAAGAGTGTGCAGGGGTATCAAATATCGACATTGTGCTGTGTGGAAGTCGGAAGCATGCTTTTTAACCATGCCTATGAAATGCGTCTCATCTTTGGTCCTATTTAAATGTGCTTGTATTTATTTTTTATAAGTGAATAGATCGACCTTTGCAAGAAAAGAAGAAAATTCAGTGCTGCCCTTTTTGAGTCAAGCTCCCCCGTCAGTTCTGCTAAGAGTTTATTTAAATCATTCATGATTTCCTGTTTGCTTTCACCACGTATCCTCATATGTTCCACCGGTTTTATCTATAGCAAATCAAGAAAAGCACATCAGACTCCAAACAGACCAACAACGAAACAACGTGGAGGATAAGACAGAATAATTCAGACGACTGAACATCTGCTAAAATCAACTACAAATGAGAAAAAAACTGTGACGTGTGGGGTCACGTGGACCCGCGCAGTCTGTAGATTACACTGTGGTGCATGCAGCCATCTCCATTCATCCTTTTCTTTGCATAACTTTAAGTTCCAAGTAACAGGGGCCAAAACAAAAAGGGAAAACGTGATCGATCAAGGAATCTTTTTTTTAAAAAGTTCTTTGTGTCAAACTGTAGTGATGCTGTGGACTCTTTAAAGTTTGGAGTACAGATGAAATGCCTTTTCTTGGACTTGCTTTCTCTCAGTCACCAAGTGGAACACAGTGTAAGATAAAATGAGAAAAAAAATTAAATTAATCCTCATCCGAATGTTGAAACTATTAAAAATGTTTTTTTTATATTAC